ACGGATGAAAAGGTAAGGGATCGATTCGAGAAACACCCGAGGAAGAGGAATTGGGGAGAAGAGGAGGATTTTAAACATTTCCCGTTGTAATAAAGCCAGGCACGCGACAGATCGGCTACGATATTGAATGGAGAGGCGGGAGGCGGGAGGCGAAATTGGACGTGGATTTATTTACATTCGAGCCCTTTGACAAATCGAACCTTATCGCTTCGAGGAGAGGGTGTAAAATGGTCGCTTTCCAACTACGAGAACCAAGTATGAGAATTCCTGACGTAACGTCGGTGTATCTCGAGAAATCGTGATACGAATCTAAGGTAAGGGGAGAGCGTCCCCTCGATACGGGAAAGGTAGCCGGCTCTCGCGACAAACATTCGTCGCGAGGAATTTCATCGACGCCAGCGCTTCTCCGCGTTTAAAATTGCGAGCAATCCCTTTTCCGAATTTCGAGCGATTTTCCCTCGTCGCTGTATCGTCGATGTACGAACGAGGAAGGAAGATTCGTTAAAATTGCCGGAGACAGAGCAACTCCATTTCCACGATTTTCCTTTACTGTTATTACACGAGGATATAAAAAAGGGAGGAGGAAAGACGCCATCACGAAGGATGGTCCTCTTTCGTCGTTGTCTGGAAGTTAGGTGAAAACCAACGGGAAGAAAAACGTCTAGGAAACGTCGTAGCTCGTCGATATTTATTAAGGAAGAACAGGATGGGGGAAACATAGGGAATGGAATATATAAGGGGTAGAGATCCTTCCTTTTCTAAAAAACAGTTTCGAAACGCCGGTTGAACCGTGACGTGTATAGAGCACGAATTAAAGCATCCGATGCAAGAAACGTGTCGGTCGAGATGACAATCGACAAAGGAGCCGAAAACCGATCTTCCTGCGGACGTATGAGGGAGCGGAAGTTTCACGTCGTAAATCAGCCCGTGGTTCACCTTATCGACCGCCCATCTACCGGGGCTAAGCGATTTTTGAACATCCCGGCCAGCAAGAAGGGGGGATAGAACCAGACTGGTGATAAAAAAGGGTTGGCCAGCTGGCGCGAAGGAGCTTTTTCTTCCTTTTTCCTCCTCCTTTCAGCCTTTTCGCAAGGCGACGCCACGACGCCCGCCACCTCCCGTTCGCATATTCAAGACTCGCCTGGACGTCTCCGCGCCATCCTTTTGCGATCCTACTCGTGAATTTATTTCGAAAGGGGAGAAAGGAAAAGAATCTCCTTTCGATTTCGTCGTTCCAATTTCCCTGATAATTCTCGATTAATCTCTGTCACTGATCTTATTCGATAAAATTTAACACACGCGCATCTTCGACGCTTCTCTCTAATTTGTAAGAAAAAGTGAAACGAAAACTTTCGCAAAAATAAATCAGGTATGTAATAGTTTCCTCCGAAGAACCCATAAAAATCTACTCCTCGACTTCCTCGAACCTTCTTTACGACCACGAAAGAATCTATAAAGCTCTCTCTTTCTCTCTCTCTCTCTGGATCGAGAAACGTTGTAAACGGTTTACGAACCGACATCATTTCACTTTTTTTTCGACAAAAAAAGTCGAAAGTCAAAACAGGGAGGAAAAAAAGAGGAAAAGAATTGCGGCTCTGTTTCGATACACGTGATTCGATACACAAGATATTGAAAGGGAAATATTCTTTCCTCCCCCTTCAAGGAAAAAATATAACGCGTGA